TTCGCTCCCTTCCTCCCTCCCTTCCTCCCTTCCTTCCTCCCTTCCTTCTGTCCTTCCCTCCCTCCCTCCTTCCCTCCTTCCTTTCTAATTTTTTCTTAGAAATTCTTTTTAGAAGCTGAATTTCAGAAAGGCTTTCCATTTTCTTGATCCTTCAGTATTTGTTTTATTTGTTGGTTGGCCTTCATAGTTTGTTTATATCTTTGTAAGGTAGGCAAATGCAAAATCAGAAACAGAAGGGTAAATTAAAAACTTGGATGATTAGTAAAGAGTAAATTCCTTGCATATCCTGCTGTGATATTTTACTGAGTTTCTGAGGCAAAGAATGTGTTACATTAATTTTGTTTTGTTTTGTTTTGGTACCTGGGACTGAACTAAGAACCTTGCGCTTTCGAGGCAGGTGGCGGCGCCACTGAGCTAAATCCCCAGCCCTCTGTTACATTAATTTTGAATCTTTAAAAAATGAGGAAGTATAAGTTCAGGATACAAAAGGGAGTAAAAAATGAGACCAGAGCAGTGGTGTTGAACCTGTTGCACATGTGCCACAGTGAGTGCACAGAGCCTTCTCTGTGGTCACATGAGCCAAGTTACCCCAGCATCATATAGCAGCACACGCAGGAGCTTTGTCATAAATAAGTGGGTTTTGCTTTGCAGTACTTGGTCTCTAAAAGATTCACCATCACTGGACTAGATGAAGGACAGTGTGCCATCAAGGAACATTTGGGGAGCACATAGCTAGGGGAAAAAATAGCTAATATTTAGTGAGGGATTGCTCCATGCCAGGTAGGAATAGAAAAATTCATTGTTGTAATAATACATAAAGAACACCAGACTACGCTAACTGTAGTTAGTATGTTGTCAGAAAGTTGATTTGTATTAATTCCAGGACATTATGAGCTTGAAGATCACCATGTAGAAATCTCAGAAGAGAGCACTTCAGCCATATTTAGTTATTTGAAAAGCTATTATGTGAAAGGAATTAATGTGACTTGTTTTTTAATAGCCTCAGAGAAAAACTAAGGTCAGTGCATATATTAGAGGTGTGCAGATCTCACTTTAACATAAGAAGCATTTTCTAGTGGCCATTGGCAGATTAGATGCACGGACCAAGGAAGTAATGACACCAAAATGTGAGGTTTCTCAGGCCAAGACAAAAACCAAACCACCTTTTGCAACACTTTGGTGGTTAGATGAACTATTGGATCATGCTGCCTTTTTTTTTTTTTTTTGGTACCTGGGATTGAACTCGGGACCTTGTGCTTGTGAGGCAGGTGGCAGCACAACTGAGCTAAAACCCCAGCCCTGTGCTGTCAACTTTAATATATCATGATTCTAAGGGTCTTCATGGAGATTATTCACTCTTGGTGACTCCTGCTTTCCATAGCCTATTCATTGTTCCTTTTCTTGTTCTGTGTCTTTGAACTCCTTTAGGAGTTATACTGTGTCAAGTCTATAGATTTTTCACTTTTCTCCCCTTAATTATCTGAGGCAATCCGGAATTTTCTTTATCACCATTTTTCATTCTAGGAATCATATTTTTTCTTTGATGAGCAATCAAATTTAAGAATGCTTTAAATAGGGTTGGGGATTTAGCTCAGTGGTGCCACGCCTGCCTCTTAAGCGCAAAGTACTAAGTTCGATCCCAGGTACTGCAAAAACAAAAGCAAAAAAACCAAAAATCAAACAAACAAAAAAGTGCTTAAAATAACAGAATCTACATTGCATTTATCAGCAAGGACAATGGACAGTTAATGTATACATAACCTTTAACAAATTTGGGGGGGGCTAAAAGATTAAAGCTAAAGTAGGAAGACTGTATTAGAGATTGCCTATTTCCATAAAGGGACAGACAGTAAATATTTCAGCCTTTGCCAACAATGGAGTCTGTCACAGCCACCCAGTTCTGCCATTGAAGTGCAGCATAGAAGAATGAGCATTGCTAAGTTATTTGCAGTGACAGTGGTGGCCCAGATTTGCTCTGTGGGTTGCAGTTTACTGATTCTTTCTCTTGGTTGTTAGAAATTTAACCGAGCAGCTGGGTGCCCCCTCACACTGGTTCTTTGTAATTTAAAAGAAAAATTTTGTAGAGAGGGTCTCACTGTGTAGTTCAGGCTGGCCTTAAACTTGCTATAGTCCAGGATGTATCTTTACCCTTTTGATTTATTTACTATCCAAACATTAAAAAGATATAAATAAAAAGTAGTCTTTCTCTCCATTTCACTGTGGACACAAGGTATGATGAGAGGTCCATTTTCACTTTGGGGAACGAAGGCAATCTTCAGATTTTACTCACACATAGGAAGGCCACACTTATCCAGGAGTCATTGGGCTGGTCCACACCACTTAACTGGTAAATAAAGATGTTGCTTTTTAAGATGTCAAAGTACATGTGTGTATTATATGTAAATATGTGTGTATATATATATATATATATATATATATATACACACACACATTTTTTTTTTAAGATGGGGTCTCACTATGTAGTTTGAATGAGTCCTGATTTCAAAGAGACATAAAGACTTTTTCATTTAGTAGAAACCATTCTGAAGACGTGGAGGTCATAGGTATTCAGTATAGTCTAATGAAGTGATTCTCAGGTTTTAAGTGTATTAGAATCACATGGGGAAGCTTGTTAAAAATTGTAGAGTACCACCCAGGAGCAGATACAGAAAACCATACTTAGAACACCAAATTAGAATAAACATATCCACTAAATTTTCATTTTTCAACCTGAGTGGTAGAATATATAATCCTGTAGCTGGTAGCCAGCCTGTTATTAATGATTGCTATTTAAGTTAAGTAAAACATCTGTTGTAGTGTAGATAATTTGAATTTTTAAAAATTTAAAAATTTCTTTCTCCTATTTATATCTTTTCACAATACTTAATTTTCATTGTTTTAATTATGTTCTTCATTGACTGAACTTTTGTTCTTTTTTTTTCATGAGTCTGTATCTAAGAATGACCTGATTATGGCCCTGTTACATGAAACCCCAGACACAGTCATCTTCCTGTGCTACAAACACGAAATCTGATTAGTAAGAAAGAACCTCTAGAAATCTTTGGGTTCAATTCCCTGTCTTTATGCAACTGGGTAAATCAGCTGAACCATCAAAGACAAAGGCGCATGGAGAATGTGTGATATTTGCTTTATTAATTCCAATTGGATTTATTACAGAGGCTAATCTCTAATTCTGGAGAGTCTGCAGATAGTTGATTATAGAAATTGACTACGCCTGGAATGAGATAAAGCTTCTTATGACATGCTATTTCTTGATTATATAAATGCACACTTTCATCAGTCCTTTCCTATATCCACATAACTTTGGCCTGTGGAGGCTAATTGCAGTGAATTTTACTATTCAGGCAGAAGTGGTGAAGTTGACTGAGAAATGTCTTAATAATGCCATTGAAAGCCCAGGAGTGAATGCCATGAGAGTTCCTCCTGATTTCAAGAGTAACATTTTGAAGGCTCAAGTAGAAGCAGTACATAAGGTAAGCTGCCTTTAATAGACATACTGCTGATGAAGTGAAAAGACACAGAATTTAGTGACTGGGGATTGTATATGGTACCAAGGAACACATTCAAAACAATGAAATGCCTTCCTCAAATCTAAATTCAAGTCAAGCTCAATTGAGACAGCTCAGTTAGACATGATGTACAAGATCTGAGTAAAGATTTTCTGGTATTGATAAGCTTTAAAAGGCTCAATTCTTTTAAAAGTAGGTCTCATTTTTGTCACTTTTTTTGGGGTGGGGATAGTACTGGGGATTTAACCCAGGACCTTTCATTGAGTTACATCCCAGATCTTTTATTTTTTGCTTTGAACTAGGATCTCACAAAGTCAGTAAGTTACTTGGGATAGGCTCAAACTTGTGATCCTCTTGCTTCAGCCTTCCAGAATCCTAGATTTGCAAGGATGCATCAGCACTCCTGGCATTTATTTTCCCACATTTGTAACCTGAAAGCTCAGTGATTTTTTAAAATTAGTTTCTTTCAATATTAAGTCTATGATTCTAGGTCTGTCTTTATCCACATATTAGTCCCACCACCCACCTATCCTCACTCTGGCAACATTTTAATATTCTTAGCAACAAGAGTGAGGTGCAAGGTGAAGAGTAGCCTGCGGCATGGTGAAAGATGCAGTGAGTATGGCCAGCCTCCAGGAGGGATGTGACAGCCATACTTTCCAAATCAACTTTTCCTTGGCTCTCCTTAACTTTCAGACTTACACTCCGTAGTTAAATAAACCAGGACAAAAGCCTGTCTCATCAAGTCAGCTTATGAACTAGGATTTCAATGTTTCCTGTTGTTGAAAAGATATGCCTTACCTGTCCTGTGCCCATGCCCAAACCTTGAAGAGAACAGAGATGACTTTAGGAATATTGTTGATGCTTTTTAGTTCGCCTTTCACCCCAACATAAAGCATAATATAAACATAAAAATAAATATGACAATATAGGCTCTAGAATCCCATTTCTCTCCTACCACCTACCAACTTTGTGACTTGGAGAAAATGAGTTCATTTCTCCAATCCGCAGTTTAATTCTAAAGATAATAGTAATGCCTACCTTAAAGTATGCTGTGAGGATGAAATAAGACAGAGTACCTAGCACACAATAAGCATTTAAAGAGTGTGGACCACCATAGTAACAGTAGCAGTAGTCTTAATTGCCATTGTCACTTACTGTGGTCTGTGTGTTTTTGTGTCCCCAAAATTTGTGTGTTGCAACTTAATCCCCCAAGTAATGCTAATGATGGTAGAACCTTTGAAAAGTGATTAGATCTTGAGAGCAGAGCCTTTCCTAATGGTATGGATGCTCTTAGAAAAAGCCCCAAAGTCGCTTACTTGTACATTCCACCATCTAAGAGGAACAGGCCTTACCAGACACTGAGTCTGCCAGCACCTTGATCTTTTGGACCTCCCAACCTCTAAAAATGTGTGAAGTAAAGGTTTACTATTTGTAGACCATCAAGTTTGTGTCATTTTGTTTTAGCAACTTGAATGGGCTAAGACATCATTGCATTTCGGTTATATTTTAGGATCTTTCTTGATTTGAAGAAGCAAGAAATAACTTCAGTTGTTCTAAATTAAAGGGATTTGGTTTTATAGCTAAACATCTTTTCATGAAGAAAAGTCTAGGACCAGATGCTTTCATGGTAGAAACCTACCAAATATTTAAATAAGTCATAACAGTTCTATAAAGACTCTTTCAGAAAGTAAAAGGAGGGCTTCCTAATTCATTTTATAAGTCTAGCATTATGCCAGTACTGAAACTAGAAAAAAAATATACTCCATCGTAGACATAAAAGTTCTTAACAAAATATAATCAAATCATACTCAGTAATTTACAAATAGCATCATACATCATGACCATGTAGGGTTATCTCAGGAAAAAAGTCGGTTTATCATTCTAACTCCAATTTAGTTCACATATTAAAAATACATTAAATTATCTAGAGTCATAAAAAAGGGATTCCACAAAATTCAACACCTGTTCATGAAACTCTTAGCAAAGTATGATAAACTGGAACTTCTCCAGCCTGATAAAGAAATCTATGAAAAAATTACTGTTAACATGACACTTCACTGAGAAAGATATATCCACTAAAACAGCTAAAATTAAAAACTGTGATGGAGCTCCTACAACATATGCACATTGCTGGCAAGAATATAAAGTGGCATAAATCCTTTAGGAAAGTTTGTCAATATATTAAGCATACATCTGACCCAGCCAATTACACTCTTAGATATTTACCTTAGAGCAATTAAAACTTAGATCTGAAACAGATATTAGTACACTAATATTACCAGCAACTTTATTTGTAAATAGCTGAAAACTGGAAACAATGCAGATGTCCACCAGCAAATAATCATGTATGGCAGTATGTTCATACAGAGCACTACCACTCAGCAAATAAAGGAGTGAACTCGCAAGACATGCAACAACATACGCAAACTTTAAAAACATTATCCTGCTCTGAAGAGACAGACCCAAAAGATAGATGTTATGTGATTCCAATTATATGAACCTGTAGAAAATGTAGATTGTTGTTTTCCATGAGCAAGAATTTTGATGGATTAAGGAGAAGCTCAAGGAAATATTTTGGGGGTTGGAAACAGTGGAAATGTTACATATGTTGGTTATGCACCTGTGCATATTTTTGAAAATTCATTGAACTATACATCAGAATGCATGCATTTTACTATATGTAAATAGCTCTGAGGTAAAATTGGGGGAAAACTGAGCTCTTCAGAAAAGATTATTGGATATCCTTGTTAAAGTATTTCTTGCATTTAAGGAAACGTAAATGCCAAATATGGGGGCTAAAATGTTTCTCTGTTTAGCAAGTAAATTCAGAAAATTCTGACTTTGAGTCTGTGAATTCTGTATTTTTTTGGTGTAACACACTTTAGTGCCTTAAATAATTGACAGACAGCTGTGTATAGTAAGAACAAGTAAATGTGTATACCAAACATATTGATATTGAATCTTAGATTATTTGGCCACAGAATAGTATTGTGGTAGATTCAGAACTGATAAGGAATGATTACCTCTTATTTGAACTGAAGCAAACTTCTATTTCTATATTTATTAAAAAAAATTGCAAGGCAGTGCTGGGGATTTAGCTCAGTGGTTCTGCCACCTGCCTCGCAAGCGAAAGGTCCCAAGTTCAATCCCTGGTACCAAAAAAAAAAAAAAGAAAGAAAGAAATAAAGAAAGAAAAGAAATGTAAGTTTTTGTTGTTTTAAAATCCTTAAATATTTATATCTTATGATTTCATTTTCTTAGGTTACAAGAGAAGAAAGCTTATTGAGTCATGGAAGCACCACTGTCCAAGATGCTCCTATAGACAGGTACATTTCTGGGTAGAATGAATCAAATGGATTTTCTTATCTTTTCCATTACCTTGTTTTCCTTCTAGATCTTTTTCTTGGGGGGTGGCTTTTTTCCTTTTCCCTAATCTTTCATCACGTAGTTTCATATATATTTGAAACAGCTTGAAATCACTCTCTTCTATCCACCACTGAGATTCTTAGTACCTAGTTTTAGTTAGTCTCCCTACATTCCCTTTTGTCCTTATCAGATTTGAACTATAGAGTAAAATCCATCTTTAAAAATTGATACTCTTAATCTCATACTTGGTAAGGAATGCATATTCTCTTGGGTGTCGTGATTAACTTTACTGTCCTCTTGTCATCATGGTGGTTTTGTTCTTATAGACTTACATGTGTTGGCTCTCACGTTAACTGAGCAGATGTTTTTGCTACTCCACCCCTGATCTGCCTCTCTTCTCTTTAGTTATTATGTCATTATTTATCATGTTGGGCATTAATATTCTTTATGGGCTGGGGATTTAGCTCAGTGGTTCCACTGTTAAACTGCTTTCAAAGAGCATGTGATAGTTTAAATGTCAGTTATATTCATATATATATATACACACACACACATATATATATGTATATATATATATATATATATATTCTTTATTAGTACATGTTGCAGTATATAGTGATTACATTCATTGTGGCAGTTGATACATATACATTAACACATCTTAATTATTTTTTCTCCTCTTTCCCTGCCTGTCTCCCCCTTCTTCCATCTCTAGAAACATTTCCCACTTGCAAATGATCTATCTCCCTAATTCCTGTTATGCAAACTTTATTTTGCTGTTTGTTTTGTTCATCACTGTGTATCCAATGATCTGTTCTTAGTTGGTGCTAAAATGTTTTGAGTGAAAGTTTTTTCTTTTCCCATTACTCAAAATTTAACCATTGGAGAGTTTTTTGATTAATTATACTCAGTTCCATGTGCCTATAAGTCTGTAGCATGTTTTGCATGTAGGACTCTACAAGTATACTGATTGGGATTAGAAAAAAATTGAGGGAAAATTATTACAACTTGCCTTTTTATTAATTTTAATAAATGTTAGTGCTAACATCTTTAGAACTGTTGTAGTATTGAAGTTTTATTTAGAATAACCTCAATGAAAAATTTTTGCTTGTCAAGAAGAGAGAAAATGGGCATAGGACTGCCCTTTGTTCATCAGAAGTTTCATTGAACTCTTGAAGCTGGGTAGACCATACGTACACTCCACCTTTTAGATTTATTTTTCTAAATGGTTGTTCATATTTTAAATAATCTGGTGCATACCTCCTCCCCTTGTCCAGGATTTGAAATATGCTGAGTTCTCTTCAAAACTTGGGTCTATCTAAACCTTTTCCTTTCTGTTAACCTGTTTTTCTTTATGCTATCCCACACTTTTTATTACTGTACCTCCTTTTACACTTGATCTTAGCCAAAAGGCCAAGAAGCGATGCACCTCTTTTTATTTATTTTTTTCCAGTTCTTGGGATCAAACTCTGGACCTTGCACATGCTAGACAAATGCTCTACCATTGAGCTGCACTTACAACCCATTATTACTGTACCTTCTTTTAGAAAACAAGAGAGAGAATACCTTTGTACCATATATCAAGCTTTGTCGCATCTACCATTTTCATATAGATTTAGATCACTTTCTTTTACCTTTTTTATTGAGATGTAATTCATATAACACAAAATTCACCCTTGAAAAATATACAGTTAAGTGGTCTTTAGAGTAGTCACAAGGTTTTGCAACTATTACCACTATCCAGTTGTCATCATACCTGAAAATAATACCTTGCCCATAAGCTTTCACTTCCGCTACCATGGCATACCCAGCAGCCACTCATCTACTATGTCTGGATTTATCTACTCTGTATAGTTCCTATAAATGGAGCCATATCAGACATGGTTGTTTGCGTCTGCTCCTTTTGTGTGTGTGTGTCTGTCTGTCTGTCTGTCTGTCTGTGTCTGCTTCTTTTATTCAACTAATGTTAAAAAGGTTTGTCCGTATTGTGACATACATTGGTACTTCACCCTTCTTTATGGCTGAATAATATTCTAGTATACATTTATATGACATGTGTTTATCTGTGTATCAGTTGATGGACATTTGGGTTATACCCACTTTCTTTGTTTTTTTTTTGGTTTCTGGGATTGAACTCAGGACTTCGCTCTTCCAAGGCAGGCACAGTGCCACTGAGCTAAATCCCAGGCCCTGTATGTACTTTTTGACCATTATGAATAAAGTTGTTGTGAACATTTTGCATACAAGATTTTTTTGTGTGGGTATGTTTCAACTTAGTATATCCCTAGGAGGAAAACCACTCCTTCTCAGTCACATGGTAACTAACTTTTTTAAAGAAATACAAACTGTCTTCCAAAGTGGCTGCAACATTTTTCATTCCCACCAGCCATGTGTGAGTGTTCCACTTTCTCAGTATCCCTTTTATTCTGCATTTATTATTCTGTTTTTTTAATTAGCCTGTCCTAATGCATTTGAAATAGTATGGCACTGTAATTTTGATTTGTGCTTAAGAACTAATGATGCTGACCATAATGATGCTGACCATCTTTTCATGTATCTTTTTTGAAAATAATTTATTTAGATCATTTATTTTTGTAGAAACAGATTCATTGAGATGTGATTGATACCATACAATTCACCCACTTTAAGTATACAATTCAGTTGTCTTTAGTATATTCACAGACATGTACAGCCATCGTCAGTATCTAATTTTAAAATATTTTTGTCACCTCAAGATGAAATCCTATACTCTTAGCTTGCTTTGTCCCCCATTGCGATTACCTGCACCCCTACCCCTCTGCTGCTGCCCTGAGGAACCACTTATCTACTTTCTGGCTACAGATTTATCTGTTCTAGAAATTCATATAAGTAGTATTCTGTTATAGGAGATCCTTTTTGCTTGCTTCTTCCCCTTAGCATGTTTCAAGGGTCCTCCATGTTGTAGCATATATTAAAGCTTTATTCTTTTATGGCTGCATAATCCATTGTTTGGATCTACTACATTGTGTTTAATCATTCACCCATTCATGGACACTAGTGTTGTGTCCACTTTTGGCTGTTAAGAATAATGCTAGAGTGGGCCCAGGATTTAGCTCAGTGGTTCTGCCACCTGCCTTGCAACACAAGGTCCTGAGTTTGATCCCCGGTATGGGGTGGGGGTGGGGGATAATGATACAGTAAATATTTGTATGCGAGTTTTTGTTTGAACACTTGTTTTTAATTATTTCGGATATGTATCTATAGTAAAATTGGTGAGTTTTATGGTAATTCTGTTTGACTTTTTAAGAAACTTCCAGGCTGCTTTCCACAGTGGCTATACCATTTTCTATTCCTCCTAGCAATGTGTTAGGGTTGTGATTTCCCCACACCCTTACAACTCAAAATTTTCCACTTCTAAGTGCTACCTCATTGTCAGTTACACTTTTATAATGACTAAGGATGTTGGGCATCTTTGTGTTTATTGGCTGTTTATATATCCCCTTTAGAGAAATGTCTGTTATAAAATCCTTTGTTCATTTGTTATTTGAATTGTTTATCTTCTGTTGTTGAGTTGTAAAATCCTTTATACAGTGGTTCCCCCTTATCCGTGGTTTTATTTTTTGTAGCTTCAGTGATCATCCACTGTTTGAAAATATTAAGTGGAAAATTCTAGAAATAAGCAATTCATAAATTTTAAATTGCATGCTGTTCTGAGTAACAGATGCAGTCTCACAGCATCCTTTGTCAACTACAAGCATGCTGCATGTACTGCCCACCTGTTACATAGCAGCCATCACAGTCATCAGACAGTTGCATCATATTGTGGTCAGGTCATCTTGTCTTACTTCATAATGTCCCTGAAGTGCAAATGTAGTGATCCAAAGGAGGCACCAGAGAATAAAAAGTGGAAGGACAGATGAACTCTGGTACCATGGCAGTACTGCAGAGCACGTGATAAAGCCATGAACCACATAGAGAGTGAAGAACCCACTTACTTTCAAAACAAAAACAAAAATTTTTAGGAAGAACAACAACAATCACATAACTTTACTACAGGAAAGTGTTATAATTCTGTTTTATTATTGTTATTAATATGTTACTAGACTTAATTTATAAATTAAACTTGATCATAGGTGTGTATAAGAAAAAAGTGTAGTGTGTATAGGATTCAGGGCTATCTGTGGTTTCAGATGTACCTTTATGGTCTTAGAACACATCCCCAACAGGGTCTGGATACAAGACCCTTATCACATATATGATTTGCCGATACAGACAAACTTTGTGCCAAGGCATAACATACATGGTCTGGAGTCCCAACAGCCAATACAGTCCTTCTTCCTAGCAAAAACCTTCTGAGCCTGGCCTTTAATGGCAGCATTTCTATCAACATTTGATCTGGGCTCTGACCAGAATCTCCAGTCAGGTACAGCTTATGGCTTTGTAGGACTGCTTGTTCAACTGGAATCTCCAAACCTTTCCAAACTCTTCTCATAAGCCAATTTCAAAGGTTATGAACCTTATGGTCAGGTACGGTCACAGCAACAACCCAAGTTCTCTGGTACCAAATCCTATATCAGTCAGTGATTACCAGAGAAAACATTTAATATAAGATATGCACATATACAAGAATGTACAAATTTGGCTTACAACAGCCTCCTATAGTTGGATGTGGAAGAGTGCTAAAGGGCTGTCTGTGCACTGGGGATCCAAAGCATCCAGTCGAAGGGCTGAAGGGTCAGTGCTGGAAATGGAAGACTGCAATGGAAGCCAGGAGACATTTCTGTCATTGTAGTGAGATTTTAGGAAGGAAGCAGGGTAGTCTGCTATTTTGATGTAGCTATATGTGAGTCTGACTTGGACATAAAAGCAGAGGTACAGGTTGGAGACAGGTTCTACACAGGCACATGAGTATAGCATGGACTGCTAGAAGGACCTTACTACTTGTTATTTCTTCTTTCCCTGCATCAATTTCTTGTTCTTCTTTACTGAGTCCTTTCTTGAAGCATGCTACCTTTTTCTGCAGGTCCTCCATGACCTGAATTTGTCCTTCCTTTGTTCCCCAGTGCTGTATTAAGTGAGAATAATGTGCCTGTCTCCAAAGATTCTCTTTCTGTGATACATACAACACGTGTGGACAAGGATTCTGTTCTTAAGGTAAGAATACTTCTTTAAGATTTTCCAAAGAGAACATTGAGTTCAATCTAGGGACATCTAGTGATTTCTAGTTAGCATCTGTTCTCCAGTGAGAATCTTGTTGACACAGTCTTTGCAAGAGTATCTCAGAGTTTCCTCTTCAGGTTTTGTGTTACTGTTTGTATTTTTTTTGCGGGGGTGGTCTTGGGTTCTGCTATACTTTCCCTCATTTTCCTTTTAAGGACATACATTGTTACATGCAAATAGATGCTTTTAAAGTGCTTATTAGATGAAAGAGTTGAGGCTTTACAACAAAGATTGATTATATTGAAATTTGTAGTGTGATTTACTCTGGGAATATAAACTGTATGCTAGCTCTGATGTGTCTATTGCGTTATTCCTTTGTCTCAAATAGTATTGCATGGAAAGTAAAGGCAGTAAGTAAATGTTTCTTGATTGAAATAAACTTTTAAACAATAGGGACATATCATTGATTGTGTTGCAGTATAACCAGATCATCCAGCTTCTGCCATTCCTATGTCCACTCAGAAGTTGTAGAAATTCATTTCATTGCTTTAAGTTGCAAATTGTCCTTCCAAATAAACATGTACCAATTTATTCTCTTATTGCACAATGTTTATTTGTTTTTAAAATTTACCAAATATTTTATGAAGAAGGCAAAACTAGAAGTCACCTTTAGTCTTACTATACAAAGACATGTATAGTTGATATTTATTTATTTATTTGTTTAGGTACTAGGGATTGAACTCAGGACCTTGTGCTTGCAAGGCAGGCGGCAGAACCACTGAGCTAAATCCCCGGCCTTATAGTTGATATTTACATATGTAATCATTAGAACTTGAAGCTTAAAAGAAAAATTCAATCTAAAATGCCTTCAACTGAGAGTTCTTTTTTAATAATTAAAATACTAACAAGACCTTGACATCTTTGCTTGGTCACTGAAAACTCTTAAATAACGTGAGAATTTTTTTTAAAAAGAGAAGTACATTTAGTTCAAAGGTTTATTATGTAGATAATACTTACTATACAAAATGCTGGCCATCACAGATTACAAAAAGAAGAAAGCATAGTCTCTACCTTCAAACTGCATGTGGCGTACTTAGCTCAGGTGTGGGGCACTAGGAAGATGAGAGGAAAGAGAAAAATATTAACATTTATTGGAGGAGAATTTGCGGTATCTCCTTGACTCACTGTCTCCTATGGTAACCCTTTTGTCACTCTCAGCTAGTCTACAGAAAACCAGTACAGTCTCATCCCATCCAAGTTTTCTCACCGAAAAGCATAGCTATGAAAATTTACAGAACATTTCAAGTTCTGATAGTCTAGGTTCCCCTCCATGAAGAAGTTAAATCATCAAACTACGATTCTTGAATTTCCTTATTTGTTTAGAGGATTAACATTCACAGGCCTGGTTCAGAATTACAACTTTAGAAAATGTGGAAAAACCTTAAAGTCTGGTGATAAATGAATCATTTAACAATTCTAGATATCTTATCTTCCGTAGGATGCTACAGATGAATTGGATGCCTTGCTCTTATCTCTAACTGAGAATCTAATTGATAACACAGTCACACCCCAGGTAAATGTGCTCTTTTTTTTTTTTTTTTTTCTTCTTTCTTTTTTTTGGAGACAAGGTCTCACTATGTAGTTGAGACTGACCTGGAACTCACTATGTAGCCCATGCTGGTCTCAAACTCACAGCAATCGGCCTACCTCAGCCTCCCGAGTGATGGGATTACAGGCGTGCGCCACAACACCCAGCTTTAAATGTGCTTTTAAAAAGCAAATTAGAGGGGCCGGGGATTTAGCTCAGCGGTTCAGTGGCCTGCCTTGCAAGCCCAAGGACCCAAGTTCAATTCCCGGTACCAAAAAAAAAATAAAATAAAATAAAAAGAAATTTCTGTTTTTTAAAATGTTCCTGCTAGATTCCAGTTATTGCCTGTTCAACAATTTATCAAAGCTTTTTCATTTAATAAGTTTGTATTTCAGTAACTACTTAGCATTGTCTTCCTGTACTAAAATTCTCCTGCTTTGAATTTGCATGCCTCTTTATAGAAATCACTTTAAGTCAATAATTTTACACCATATTAAATAGCATGAGAGAAAACGTGGTGATAAATCATCTTAATGAGTTAAGACAATAAGGAAATGCTTCAGTTTTTAAAAATGTTATCGATAGATGGGAGCATAGTTAGCATTAATGTGCCAGTAATCTAACGATTGACTAACGATGTAAGTCAGCAATTGAGTCTAGAAGGTAACTGTATTTAGCTCTATAGCCATAGTACAATGGTGGCTCGGTTCACAAACTTAATTCACTCATGATTCTGGAAAAGATGGCCATGTTTGTGTTCATGAGGGAGAGAGGACTACACTCATGTTCATCACCTGAAGCAGAGTTCACATACAAAAGCAAAATTTTGCCATTTATGTGTGCAAACCAAATTGTTTGCAAACAAAAGCATTAACAGTTTCATCTCTCCAGGAACTTACAGTCTGTTTGGAGTGAGAAATAAATAACTAATGAGTGCCTTACAAGCGATATGACAAAAATTGCTGTAGGAACTAAATGCTATACTAAGGGCCTGGAAGAAGATAAAACTTTCTGTGAAGCAGGATGTCCACTTGGATCATTAATTCTCAGACCTAACCATGTCTTAGAATCACCTGGAGGGCATATTAAAACAGATTGCTGGGCCGGGGATTTAGCTCAGTGGTTCCACAGCCTACTTCGCAAGCACAAGGACCTGAGTTCAATCCCTGGTACAAAACAAAAACAAAAAAACAGATTGCTGGGCCACACCTCAAAATTAGTAATTAAGTGTGTCTTTAGGAGACTTAAAACATTGCACTTCTACTTATGTTCCCAGATGTTGCAGATGTGGTCTGGGAACCACCACTTAAAGCAGTAAACAAAAAGATTACCAAAGATAAGAAATAATCACAAGTTAGCCCAAGTGAACAGACAGAAAACAAAAAGGATAGTGGTAACAGTAAGCCATGGTAATTCTTTAAATAGACAAAAGAAATAACTTCTAAAATTAAAACAAGATGTTCTGAAGCCCAGAGGAGGAATGCATGGGGGCTTAATTCGGAACACTGACTATAAGTGTATGTTCCTTGTCATACATGAGTGGTGATAAAGTAATGAAAATCAAACAGATTTTTTTAAAAGGGCACAGTGCCTGCCCAGCAAGTGCAAGGTCCTGAGTTCGATCCCAGTTACCAAAAAAGGGGGTGGAGACTAATGATGTAAATCAGCAGTTGAGCACCTTCCTAGGATGAGCAAGGCCCTGGTTTCAATCCCCAGCACAATTGAAACAAAGAAGGTTTTATATCTCCAGTATATGGTCCCTTCCCTACAAACTTAGAATGCTTCTTTTAAACATCAAATACAGATGTTTATGCATCCAAGTTCTATTTATAGGCTGTCTGTTCAGTTAAGTTTACAGGTCTCTCAGTTATAAGAGCTGTACACACTTTCTTTTCCTGCAATACAGGGATGTGAATCCAGCGCCTCACACCTACTATCATCACTGAGCTACAACCTAGCTCTTTTTTTTTTGAGCTAAGGTCTTGCTAAATTACCTGTCTAGGCCCATGTGTGTGTGTAAAACATTGGACCCACCCCTTTTTTAATCCTTAAAACAGGGTCTCACTAAGTCTCTAAATTACCCAGACTAGACCAGAACTTGCAGTCCTCCTGCCTAAACTCTAGAGTGCTGGGATTACAGATGTGTACCACCATCCCTCGCTCTTTTATTACATTTTTATGGTTTATCTAGGTTACACTTTCTACTCTTAAGGAGTTTCCAGATTATAAAGTTCCCTCTTACTAGAGAAGAGCCATGGCAGACCCTAAAAGTTAGAGCAGGAATATCCATTACTAAGACTAGGAAGCAAGCTTTGGAAGATACTAAAAGTATAATCAGTTTGGAGGCCAGGCGTGGTGGTGCACGCTTGTAATCCCAGCACTCGGAAGGCTGGGACTGGAGAATTGCTGAGTTCGAAATAAGCATGGGCTACATAGTGAGTTCCAAGTCAGTCTCAGCTACATAGTGAGACCCTGTCTCAAAAACCAAACCAAAACAAACAAACCAAAAAAGTATCATCAGTTTGGAAATGGGTAAATATGTAAAATAAATTTGTAACAAGAAGTAGCTCTAAGATCAATAGGATAGTATCCTTTAAAAAAAAAGATAAGACACCCAAAATAAATTAAATGTACCCTCAGTGTATGGCACACTTGGTTTTTAGGTCCATGGAGAGCTTCTCTTTCATTTTCCTTTATCCTCCATCTTCACTTCCATTTCTCGTTTCTTTTTCCTCCTGAGTTACCTATTCTGTTTATTTATGTAAGTCCTTCCAGGCTACCTTGTATGTATTTATTTAGATAAACCCTGTAAGGAGTTGTGGAAAGTTTGAGATTTATATTCTTAAGTAGGATTGCAAAACTACAGGCTTAAATGAACACTGAATTGCACTGGCTGTTGCTGATTGCTGCCCAGGATGCCTCCCACGATTCCAGTCCCACTAGCAGGGCTCACATGTTCCCATCTCACTTGTGTTCTTCCTTCAGCTACATTTATTTGACCGACTGATATGTTCAATTTGATGCATTTGTCTTGTTTCTGTTTGCATGAGTTAAATTTAATATCCCAGTAGAATTACTATGAGAAAATGAAAAAACGGAAACAAAGTTTATAAATAGGGGTGGAGGGGTTGAAGAGAGGGCAGCAGAATGGGAAAAAAATAACAACCAAGATAGATTATGTAAAGGTACAAATTTTCAATGATGAATGTCATTGCATTGTACACCTAAAATATCAATAAGCTTAATGAGAAAAATTTAATATCTACCCTAGTTTCTTAATACTGATTTAGGTTTCTTCTTTGAATTACCTATTTATGTCTTTTGTCCATTTTTCTATTGATTTTTCTTTCTTTTTCTTGCTCACTTCGAGTTTTTTTGTATAGTCTTGATATCAGTTCTATGTCAATCTTATACATTAAAAATATTTTCGTAATCTGTATGTTCACAGTGGGGAATCTTATCACAGTATTATTTGTTGTAGATTTCTAAGGAGATTGAGGCAACTTATGTCTGACACTGGGAGATGAATGAATAAAATAGATTTGCGCCCTTCATTGAATAGAAACTTTTTATGCCTACATTCTTCGTTTTTTTCTTTATGGTTTGTGGTTTGGGTTTGTTGCTTGAGTTTTTTGAGACAGAGTCTTGCTATGTAGCCCAAGCTGACCTCAAGCTTACAGTGCTCCTCTTGCCTCAGCCTTCTGAGTACTGGTATTACAGCCCTGGTTTGGGGTTTTACTGTTTTTTTCTTCCTCATCTTCAACTCCATCTCCGAAGTCACAGAGTGATATTCTATATTTTAGCCATACATAATTTTTACTTTATTTTACTCTCATATTTCAGTTTTTGACCCATTTGGTTTTTTGGATTTTGGTTTTGGTTTTTTGTTTTGCTCTCTTAGCCAGAAGAGGAGATAGTTAGTATTTGAGGATGCCTCAACTTTGTATGTGTTCATATAAAGAGCTTGTTTCCCAAATATTATCTACTAGATAATCCTACCAACTAATCATTCCTTTCCCAACTTGTTGATGATATCTCCTCTATTCTGTTCTATTGTGCCCTGTCTTTTTCTGCTCTAGTACTGTAATATTTTTATGACTCTGGATTTCCAATATGTCTTATTATCTGAGGTATCCTGACATAAATTTTAGAATCAGCTTGTCATTTCTCCACTAATCCTTCAGGCACTTTAGTGGAATTTGTATTTTTGCAAATAAGTGGCATTTTTGTAATATGAAATCTTTCTTTTCATGAACATGATCTATATCTCCATTTTCTCATCTTCATTACTCTTAAGTGTTCCTTGTAAGTCTTCTGTATTGTTAGATTCAACTCTAAATACTTTGTAATTTCATTGATTTTTTAAAATGCTATTTACTTTTTCCACTATTGAATGTATAAGTTGATTTTGCATGTAGTAAACTTGCTGGATTCTCCCTTGGGGAAATCTGCAAATTATTCTGCACATTCTAGAAATTTCTGGGGGTTACTATTATTGTTTCCATTTATTGTTTACTCCATTGTTCACATATTGCTATTGTTTTACATATTTTTAAAATACACTGTGAGATGCACCTGTGATTAGGTAATTACACTTTCTTGAGCTCCTTTTAGCTTGCTTTTCTCTTTCTTTTATTTATTTTATTTTTTAAGATGAGATTTCATTGAGCTGTCTGGGCTGGTCTATTCTTCCTGCTTTAGCCTGCCCTATAGCTGGGATTGTAGGTGTGGGGCACCATGTCTGCAAGCCTTCTGTCACTTTTTTTCCTTTTCATCCTTTTTTTCCTCTCTTAATTTCCTTTGTACAGTTACAAACATTGACTCCCTAGCCTTAAATTCGTATTTATTGGTACATAATTTTCTGTTTTTTATTTTCAGCCTTTCTACATCTATTCGTTTTAAATGGGTCTTTTGTGAACAGTATTTTGCTGGAACTCTTCTGAAAAATTTTGAGAATCTCCATATTCAGTTTAACAAATTTATATTTACTGTAATTATGGTTAGGATATGGTTGTATAATGTGTTTATTATAGGTTCATATTATGGTTAATTTATTATGTTTACTATAATTATGGTTATTCATTTCTGCCAAACCATTTTTTTCTTTTCTTTGTTTACCATATTTTTTTCTCTCTATTGCTCTATTTCCTTTTATTAAAATGCATTTTCTCAATATTGGTTGGAAAGTTACACTTTGTGTTTTTATCCTTCTGGTGATTATCTATAGTAAGATTTGGACTTACCACTGAATTTTTCTTATCAGTAAGTAAGGGCCCCAGTGCAAAGACTAGTCTACATTTCTAAAGTAGGGGAGTTTAGGGCCAGGGATTTGGCTCAGTGGTTCTGCCGCCTGCCTCGTAAGCGTAAGGGGGCCCGAGTTCAATTCCTGGTACCAAAAAAAGAAAGAAAATCATTGAGTGTGGGCCAGGGATTTAGCTCAGTGGTTCTGCTGCCTGCCTTGCAAGCACAAGGTCCCGAGTTCAATCCCCAGTACCAAAATAAATAAAATAAAATAGAGTTTCATTAGATTATAATTCTGTACAGAGAAGTAAGATCTAGAAAATTAGACACTGAAAGCAAATAAGAACTATGAATCAGGAGCAAAATGGGTGTTTTTATTGATACTTCATACATGCATGATAATTAGAGAATTATCTCTTTATAAACACATTTTTCAGTGCTTTCTTTTATTTGGATTAGTCATAATCCATTGCTTAGGATGCTACTTAGAAGGCTATGACTATTTATACTTAACTGAACTTTCAGAAGAGAGAATGTTAAACTAACACTGAGTGTAAAATTCATTTATGTATTATTAAATAAACAAAGTAGTAGTACATTCTTGATTCATACATGTTTAGATTAGAGATTCTCAAAATTATGACGTTTAAGTCCTGAGATATTGCATTTGTGTTATAGAAAAGAATCTTTGATTCAGAAGTCCATGTCAGGTCTAGGGTGCTCGTTAAGAATTGCACTGCCTAAGATTTCTCAAAAAACTAAAACTAGAGATTCCATTTGACACAGTTATACCTCTTCTTGGTATCTTTCCAAAAGAATTAGAAGCATCTTACCACCATGATACATGCACACCCATGTTTATAGCAGCACAGTTTATAAGAACCAAATCTTGGAAACAGCCCAAATGCCCATCAACTGACCAGTGGATAAAGAAGATGTGGGTTTTATATATATATATATATAGATAGATAGATAGATAGATAGATAGATAGATAGATAGATAGACAGACACACACAGTGGAATACTGCTGTTGTCATAAAGAAGGATGAGCTTCAGCTTTTTATAGATAAATGGGTGGACCTTGAGACCATACTTTTAAGCGAAATAAATCAGACACACATGTTTAAGTGCCGCCTTACTGAATGTGGAAATAAGGACTGAGATGTATAATGGATGTTGGGAAATGGGAAGAAAATGTTCAAATGGGAAGGTGAACAAGGGAGAAGGGAGGGAGAAAGGGAAGGAAGGGACAAGAAAAAAGTGAAAATAGAAGGAAAAATGGAAACCAAGCTTTCGTACATAGAGAGGGGAAGGGGCTTGAGCGGGGTGGGATAAAATAAAATTTATTTAAGAAAAGAATTGCACCTCTATAATACATTTTATAATAGAAGAAAGTGGTATGAGTATAATTATGAAAATAAGTCAGTCTTCTCTAAAAGTAAATACTTATATAAAATTTGTTTTAGGTTTCTTCAGCATCCATAATCACACCCCGGTGGATTATCCCAGTAAGTTCGTATTTGTGACTTTTTTTCTGAGAGGGAGTCCTAAATGGGCATCAATTCTTCTGTTTCTTTATAAACATGGGAGCCATTGTCAAACCTCTGTTAACTGAATATAATGGCTTCAAATTCATGGCTTCATCTTTCTGTCTGTAAATGCTTAAGGCTACAGACAAAAACAATAAAAATTGGAGAGGAAGAATAGTTAAAATAACAAGACAACATGAACATCAAGATTATGTTCTTTCTTGCCATAGTCATGAGCAGAGCTGATTTGGAGCTGAGCTGCTGAGTGGGTTAGGGTTGTTACCTTGGCTATTCAGACATGTTGTGTATCTCCCACAGCAGCAGAGTAGCGCCATTTCTAATGGACTTGCCGGATGTGGAATGTCCTTGACAGAGAAAGAGGGACATGGTAATAAAGGTGGAATCTCACTGATCTCTCCCCCAGCACCATTCTTGGTAGATGCTGTGACCAGGTGAGAAAATTATTTCTCAGTTTCTGTTTTTAGGCATCTTTTGGCGAGACAAATAATAAAGTTAATTCTATTTGAAAGAACAGTGTCATGGGCCAGGGATTAAGCTCAGTGGTGCCCCCACCTGCCTTGCTAGTGCAAGGTCCCAAGTTCAATGCCCCATACCAAAAAAAATAAAACAAAAAAATAAAATGTGTCAATTAATTTTTTGATAAATTATTCCTCTTTTATGGTTTAATATTTTTTTCTTGATACTAGTAATCTTCTACAAAGATTAGGGTTTCTTTGTGAAGTCTTTGCTAAAAATTATTAACAGGTTTATCTTTACATTTTTATATTTGTTTTAAAATCCGTTTGTGTCTTTTCCTTTTATCTTCCCTATTGTCTATGCTCTATAATAGTGATAATTGTGCTGCCCATTAATATAGTGAAGAGATACAGTAAAAAAGTGAAGTAGGAGATTCCCAGGGTAGCATTGACTGATATTTGTTGAGCTCATTTTACCATACTGCTTGCTACAGACAGAAGAGATCTTTTCCATATTTGATTGAGAACATAGCTACCTGTTTTGCAAGATTTATAATTACTTTCTAACCTCAGACCTTTTTTAGTGATTAGCTGCCATTTTTCATATTCTCATTGGTATTGAGAATGTAGATCAGTTGAAGTACAGTAGAAGTTTTCCTAATCAGAGAGAGGAAAATTATTAGAGACGACTAACTTGAAAGAAATTAATAGTTTAATTTTAAAATAATATCTTTATCTCCATAGGCTCTTCAGTGATACCATTATTCACTTAGCAGACACTCATTAAATGTTTGTGGTGTACCTGGCATGACTATGGCACTGAAGATAGCAGTGAACAGGACAGACATGGAATCTGCCTTTTAGAAACTTAACTCTAGTCAAGTAGCACTGTGTACAAATGTAATGAGTTATTTTTCTAATCTTTATGCCTCATAATTGCTGCTATAAAAAATAAGAGATGGTGTGTAGAAGATAAGCGGCAATGCTTGCGGTTATATTTATACAAAAACAGGAATTGGAGGAGCCAGACATTCATGAAGATAAAGCACCTGGTAGGGCTCAGAGTATGAGAATTTATTAAAGTTACTCATGTTGAGCATTTGCCCTCCCTCTACCTCTGCTTATGCTGGCACAATTCTGAAGTCTTCCCTCTGAGGAGGCAGCCGGAAAGCGTCTGGATCTGAGAGTTTGCATTTGCAGTAAGGCTCTGAATTCAAAACAGTTTAACTCAAAGTCCACACATGAAAGGTGAGATGTCCAACCTTCTTTCTTTTTTCAGCTTCCCTAATGATGGCCAGCAGTAAATGTCTCAGGTGAGAAAGTAAGATTACTCACTGGAGACATAAATCAACCAAAGAGAAAAGGTCTACAGATACTACTAAATTTATGGATCATTAGTGAAATTGCTAGAAATACTCATAGTTAATTAACTGTAAGACAATTGATGTGCAATTGATATATATGTGCAGCTGTGAAACAGCATCTCGGTGCTGACCTTTTAAATAGGAAGAAATGTGTGAGAAAAGTCCAAAAGAAGTAAACTGAAAAAGAAATGAAATAAAGACAACATAAAGAAAACTTCACAAATTTGTATCTAAATTTAGAAGATACTGCATTTATACACTAGTAACAGGAACTTTATAAAAGAACACAAATATTTTTGGAAATTATTAACCACATTAAAAATAAAATCCAAAGAATGTATCGAAGATTGAGGCCATATCCAAAAAACTAGAAAAAAGGTAAAACCTAGGAGAGAAAAGGTTAAGAAAATTGGAGGATTAGTCTGTGAGATCCAGTATATGAATACTAGGAAAGGATTTCTTCCAGAAAGAAGGAATTTGTGCAAGTGAGGAAATTGTCAAATACTTAAGTTTCTAGATTAAAGGAGCCTGCTGTGTGTCCCCCACCGAATGAAAATAGGCTCAAGGAACATCATGAAGCTTTGGATTAAAGTGAAGGCAAAATAATGAGGCTCCAACGAGGGGGAAACAAAAGCACCTGGCAAGGGTTGGACTAAAAATAAGAGCAGATGTTACCGAAAGCTAGAATAGAAAGGAGTAATACTGTCAATTCTGGAGGGAACTCGTTTTTCACTGGAGTTTTATATCCAGAAAAACTTAGCAGTGAAATGTGACATTAGAATAGAGATGGTTTTAGGGTCAGGGATTTAGCTCAGTGGTTCTGCTGCCTTCCTCACAATCATAAGGACCCAGTTTCAATCCCCGGTACCAAAAAAAAAAAAAATGGCTTTAGACCTATAATTCTATAAAATATATTTTTCCCAAACAGCCTTTCTCAGGAAGCTACTGAAGATGTGTTCTATTAAAAGCAGGTGATTAACCTACCCCCAAAACAAAAGAAAAAAAAGGGAATTTAGAACCCAGGGAAACAGTAGATAGGTGCAGAGATTTGCCTGGAGGACGTCTTGAGCAGCCCCTGTCCAGCAGGTTTAGAAAAGATCTGACCCAGATTCAAGAAGGAAGATACAGAGTTCCAGAAAGGATTTTGCCAGGAAATAAAGACATAATTACAGGGTCAGGGGATTTAGTTCAGCAGTTCCTCCACCTGCCTCACAAGCACAAGGTCCTGAGTTCGATCCCCAGTACCCCCGCCGAAAAAAAAACAATATCAACAGATTTTTAATTACGTCACTTGCCTCAATAAACTGAGAAGAACCGGGCATGGTCGCGCATGCCTGTAATCCCAGCACTTGGGAGGCTGAGGCAGGAGAATCACTGTGAGTTCAAGACCAGCCTGGACTACATAGTGAATTCCAGGTCAGTCTCAACTACATAGTGAGACCCTGTCTCAAAAAACCAAAAAAATTTTTTAAATAAATAAATAAATAAAAATAAATTGAGAAGAGATTCACAATTCTACTTGAAATGTGAGGGATAATTTTTTTTAAATGAGTCATGTATTAAATCCAGAGCAAACAAAAATCGTACAAAAGAAATATAATGCACTGACACTCAGTTGTGAAAATCTTTACATGATTTCAGCAAACACCAAATATTAACATAAACAAAATTGGTCAGTTAGCTGTGTTGAGAAGAAGACAAGATTACGGGGCTTGGTTGGGCTATGAGAAAGTTAATCCTGCACAGTAAACATGTCACTCAGAACAGACGGAACTTGTGTTGTTTGTGAAGCGGAATCTCCAGACGGGGGCTTGTTAAAGCACAGGCTACTACTGATCTGGGTCCTGAACGTCTGACTCTGTTTCTGAGCCAGGGCCCAAGAATTTACATTTCTGACAGATCCCAAGAACTACTGTTTGGGAACCAGGGATATAGAAAGTGAAGGAAACTACTAGAAGAAAACAGTTGAAATTACTCATGTCGAGGTAGTAGAAATGAAGAGTGATGATAAAGATGATTGGTATTTCATTTATGAATCTTGTGAGTGCTTTTGGCCTTTACATTATGGTTTTTTTGTATTGGGTACTTTAAATATTAAACTAAATTAGATGTGGATACATCCTTGCATCTGAGTCCATGCAGTTCACGCACAGCAGAGTCTTGAGGCCCTCATGCAAAGGCTGTGTCTTTTCATTGTTCTCAGTGCTCTAATAAATAGATTAACTGGTTTATGGACTTGGGCACAGCCATCTAAGCACAGGGAAATACTTCTTTTGCTGTCTTCTGAGCTTGTTGTTCAGCACAGTACTGTTCACATCTCTGACTCATGAAGAGATGGTTAATTGTATATTAGGCATATCATATTCAAGGAAGTAGAGGAAACTCTTGAGGGTGTGTGTGTGTGTGGGTGTGGGTGTGGGTGTGTGTGGTGTGTGCTTTGTTTTTTGTGGTCCTGGGGGATTGACTCAGGGCTTTTGTATTAAGCTACATCCCCAACTCATTTTTTTTGTTTTTTATTTTGAAACAGGGTCTCACTAAGTTTTCCACGCTGGCCTTGAGCTTGCAATCCTCTTACCTCAGTCTCCCAGTGTGCTGGGGTTACAGCCATGTACTACTCCAGCAGGCTATAAAGCTGGTATTTTATATTTCAAAATGAAATGAACATCACTTGTCTGGAAAATTTCCTTCTGCAGAATATCTTATTGCCTAAGTTAGGTGTTACCACATATCCATTTAGGTCTGTAAAGTACTGTGTTCTCAACATGTCCATGTGGGCTACTAGAAACGTGAATGTCCCTTGTTCCCTTCCCTCCCCCCACCCTAGATGTTTTCATTTAATATCCATTCTCTCTTCCTTTCAGTTCTGCACCAACTTTGACTGAAGACACTTCAGTCTTGAAGCACAAGTGTTTACTGACCACTGAGCTCTAAGAGACTGCCCCTCTCAACTGGTAACTGGAATGCCCAGCACTCTCTAGCTGTCCGTCCTGGAATCTGTTCCAACTGGAATGTGTTGAATTCTGGAGTTTGTCCTTTACTTATAGGTAAAAATACTCTACCTGCATTTAACTTCAGCTCCGTTTTAAAAAGCTACATTTTCCGTCCAACTGGAAGGATTTAATCACACTACATACTTTCCCAAAGGAGAGTATCTGGTCTTTTACTTTATGTAATTTCATTAGAGTTGGTAATTCCTGAATCAAGAGAATTACTTTCCCTGCAGTTTCCTTCAAACTCTTGGCTCCACCTAGCGGTTATAACTGTTCATAATGACTCTGGCAGTTATCAGCCTTTTTTATTTTTTTCCTGGTACTAGGGATCGAACTTGGGACCTTGCACTTGCGTGGCAGGCAGTGGCACCACTGAGCTAAATTCCCAGCAGTCTCCCCTATTTTTGACTTTTTCTTTGGTACTGGGGATCGAACTCGGGTTCCTGCGCTTGCAAGGCAGGTGGCGGAACCACTGAGCTAAATCCCCGGCCCTATTTTTGACTTCTTATGAAGTGGCTCTCTTGCCTATGAATTTATATCAATATCAGATAAACACTGAGAAGAACAACAGAGCGATCAAGCGATCAGTTTCCCGTCATATGTTTTTATAGTTTTGCCTTCCCACCAGAAGTATTCCCATGCACCACACTAACCTTGCAGCCTGGGAGGGGGACGAGTTCCTAGTCAAAAGACCCTAGGTATTGACCTGCCCTCCTGAGCCAGGTGAGGAATCCAGGCCATTTTAGACTTCCATAATTAAGTCAATATTCCATATCAGTACCTGTTTAGACAGAGCTTCCAATTCCTTTCTATATAAGCTGAATAAATTGACAACTCTCAGACCGAAAAAGAAGAAACAAAAGCAGATAGGGGATAGGGGTAGGAATGAGAGGATTTTGTTTCTTAAATGCCCTCCACATATGACACTGTGTATGGCATACTAAAAGAAGTCACACTACATTAGAGATATTGTTCAAAAGACTTCTTAAGAATTATTTTAGCCCTTTTGGCCTGTACAAAAAACTGTGGATGTTAAAGTAGTATATGTTCAGGCTGGGGATTTGGCTCAGTGGGTTCCACTTCCTGCCTTGAAAACGCAAGGGCCTGAGTTCGATCCCCAGTACCAATAAATAAAGTGTAGTATATGTTCTTCATAGAAGAGTATACAGATAACCACCTATTAATCTCAAAACCCAGAAATAATACTGATTTAGCTTTAGAACTGTAGGCTGAAAAGTAAGCCTCATTTGCTGTGGAGGAAGAAGATGACCTGGAAACCGTGTCGGGAAAGGAGCCAGTAATCAAGGACTGATGTTAAACTTACCTCTTAGAAATTGTTTTTTAAGTTTCCTGCCCTGAAATGTGTATATAATTGAGCATTAATTTGTACTACTCAGTCTAAAAGAACATCCAGTTTTGTGGTCTTGAAATCTCATGATATGGACTATTCTGGGCTCCTGGTGACATACTTAAGTGCTCAAACACACTAGGATCAGACTGGAAAGCTCGGGAATCTTAAACTTGCACTGTTTCCCAGGGAGCTGTATAGATGGGAAAGCACTTTTCACAAAGCATTTTGGCTGAAAGAGAGAAAGTTGGCACTTCTTACTGACTGCCTCCCCATAGCCATTATGCTAAGCTTGTGAGTTTCACAGGGCTGCTCTTAGCAGTCGCTGGTTATACTGTAAAACATGTTTTCTCACAGCTGTGGAACATAGAACCTAGACCTGACCCAGAACATGTTGGACTGGTCATCGGTTTTTCAGTGCTTGACAACCCTGAATGTCCTGCATGGTTGGTGCTGTGCTCCTAACCACAGAGCAGCTGAACGGCATTGTGTCCTGGAAGACCTGAATTTTCCGTCCAGTTTAGAAGGCAGTACTATTCTTATCTTAAACTTTCCAGGATTTAGGAATTAAGTAGTTGAACATATTTCATCACCTATGTGTCTTCAGGTACCTGTATTCTTGCCAGTCAAAATATTGGTAGGGACATTTATTTGAATCTCCATTAAAAGTAAAATGCCCAAACATGAAGTGGTAGATGTGGATGGTGGATTATCCCTGACAAATTAGATACCTGTCACATATAAGATTCTTGTTGCCTGCTGCTGGTGTTGGTCCCCAGAGCTGCTATCCCCGCTCATGCCATTCTGCTCTTCTGAGGACAGTGGACAGTAGTGGTAGAAAGAGACAGGGTTGAGGATGTGGCAGGCAGGCAAGGGAAAGGTCTGTCTCGGAAGAGGCAAGCATGTGTGAACCAGTGGAGGATGCTGGCAAAGAGACTGGAATTGACCCTGGTCAGGAGAGCAGCTGGTAACATTGGGCTGAGGTGAGGGGGCAGGGCGAGTACTGCAGACCTTGATGGTTTGCTTCGCACTTGGGGAACAGTGCTGTGGTAGCTGCTCTGCCACCTTCCCACAGGCAGAAGCCAGGAGAGGATCCTGGTGTGGGGGTTGCCATGGTAGTTTAAAGTAAGATATGAATGTTCCACCTTTCTGCCCTGGACTATCCCGCAGCTCATGAGTTAATCAGTGAGACCTCAATTCTGTTCGTCTACAGCGTCTCCTTTCTAAAAAGAGGGGCTCGTGGTTATTACACGCCCATTCTTCAGGAGACACTACTAAGCCTCAGTGAGTAGGTTCCTTGTATGCTTGACAGTTTTGACACTGTAAGAAAAATTCTTTTGAAAAATACTGACAGTTTTACTAACTTCTTTGGCTTTATTTGCTTTTGTACAATCTCAGAGGTCCTATGGACTTGTAAAGATGAAAGCCTTGAGTTTTTCTAGACTGTTTTCTCTTTCATGTTTCTCAGTTCTAGCTAAAGCTTGTATTTCTGTCTTCTCTTAGCTAAGCCAGGGAGAGAACCCGGGCTGTCCCTCTAGAACCTTTGGTAGTGGGATTTTGCCAGTCACATAAAGTCTGTCATATTTTTCTAAGTAAGGATCTAGAAAAACTAAAGTTCCTGTCTCCTCACTCAGCCGCAGTCACATGCATGTTCTGCAAAGGCTACAGGCGGTAATGATCTCCGCACTCAGCTCTGAGAGTACAAAGGCATTGTGAAGAACAGCACATGTGAACTTGGCTATGTTCAGTAAAGGTTTATTTAGAAAACATCTCCTGACCCCTGATTTCCAGCTTTGAGGAGTGGCTACCTGGAAGGCAGGTGGGGATTCAGATGGGTTCTGAAGTATCATCTGTCACTTGGAAACACTTAGCCCATCCGGATGTTGCATCCTCATGCACATGTAGCACAACCAGACAAGGTGCAATTGTGGTCCCAGCTCTGTATCTGTGAGAGCTCACGAATTTCTGGTTAATCTTAATGTTAGCCTTGTAGTTGCTTAGAAATTTGGATGATTCTGTTGAGTGAAGAATGCACAAGTCTAGGTTATTTGTCCTTTGTTTTACTCTCAAAAGTGTAAAGACTGGTTCTTGAATCATCAGAGGATGATTGGAAGCTTTCTGTGCATTAGCCCCCAGAATGAGGAACGTGGTTTGTGTTACGGAAACTTTGGTTGAGCTGAATTTTGCTGCATTGACATGCTGGTAGAGCTGCGATTCTTCCCCAGTCCTAACGGTAGGATCTGTAAATCCCTACTTTATCATGCTGCTTGAGACCATCACTCAGTCACTTCTCAGGATTTCTCTCTATCAGAGGTGTTTTTGTGTCACAACTCATTACTCTTTATCTTCAGATCGGGACACTATAGACGATTGGTTATGAGGACCTCACTATTTTTGTTTACTTTTTATACATGTGAAGCTCTGTAGTAGCTTGGAAACTGTAATTTATTTTTCTATCAAATGCACTATATTCAGTGTTAGAATAACTTTTGTATAACTTGTACTAGGATCACAGCACTGAACTGTGAGTTGTCTGTACACTGAAATGAGAAGGGTAGATGTGACCTTGTTCAATAAAACTTTCGTGAGACTTTTGGTGTTTGTCTGAGTTGTTTCTTGAGTGTGTGATACTTACCTGCTGGCCCAACAGACTTGTTGGCCATATTTATTAATAGGAAGGTAAGGGAGTGAGGTGAAGCAGTGGTACAGTATTCAGGGATCCGGTCAGTGTGTGGGATGTGACTTCAGGAGTGGAGGAGCATTTTCTATAAGAAGGACCATATATAAAAAGTAGGATGAAAGTGGCTTTCATCCAGACTGGAGCGGTCCTGGTTTATCTCAAGCTGATATATCAAGGATATCCCGCACATTCCTGGTGCTAACTGGCACTAGGGTCCATTGTAAAGCTCCACATACCACTGTAATGGCTTTGTTTATAGTATGCTGGGGAATGGGGAAAACCGGCCAGGGTTACTCAGGGTCAGTCATGGTGGTTACAACTGAAGATGGCTGCAGTCAGGTCAGGCTTTTTCCCTACAGAGGCCCTTATGGGGGAAATTGTCACTCCTCACAACTCTCTGCTGCACTGGCAAGCGGGAGATACTCAACAAATGTGTGTTCTGTGAAACTTAACAGGCATAAAGGTTCACAGCCTAGAATATGAAGACACACAACACTTAAAACAGCCATTTAAAGTGAATTATTCTTGAATTACAGCATAACAAATGGGCCATAATGGAACCCTGTGTGCCAGTCCTCTGCCTTGTCCTTGTTAAAATGTAGATAGTAGTACCTTGATAGTAGTAGACTTCATAGTGGAAAATGCATAGAAAGGTGTTACATAGTAAATGTGTTAGGTGCTGCCTTTTTTTTAAATCAACTCAGGACCTTGCACTTGCCAGGCAGCCACAGTGCCACTCAATTACATCCCCGGCCAGCTGTGCTGCCATTTTTCATGGCGATCTTGGTATGCCTCTAAGCAGTCTTTAGTTTCCTTCTCACACAACTGGTGATCTCCGTTAGGGGTGGATCTGGCCACCACTTCTAGCCACCTGGTCTCAGCTGCAGAGAAAAAGCACTTGCCCAAGGAGAGTTCTAGTCACAGCCCCCTGGTCACCTCACCTCCACAGGCTCCATGGCAGCTGTTTCCTAGTCTTCACTTGTAGGAACCAGCCTTCAGGCTCGAACCAGACCAAGGGGTGGAGAAGATGAAAAATAGACATAGAAACAAGTTAGAGTTCGTGGAGTAAGTCTGTCCTGACTCCAGCACCCTGTCTAGCTTTCCTGGGCTGGCCTCCTAGTGCCATTTGCCATTCTCTTCTCAGCGCCCCCTTTTTTTGGTTTACCATTTAGGACAAGGTACATCACACTGCAGTCATGACCCAGAAATCGTAATGGCTTACAAAATGGCTACATCATTTGCAGGACCTGGTATCAATAGAAATGTGAGACTCTTTTCAAAAATCACTGAGAATTTCAAGATAGGATAGAGCATTAAACCAGGCAAGGGACC